TAACTCGGAGGTGATGGATATACTTTAAGGTTGCACATTTTATACTAATAACCATTTCCTAAAGAATGAGTAAGTAAGGGGGGATGGTAATTTGATTAAATCACAATGTATATAGGCCTGAAGTACCAAGACAAAACCCCCTTCAACTATCAATATACACTTTTTGACAAAATGAGGGAAAATGGGGTTTTTTCTGGGAATGGGTGGGCACAAGGAAAGAGGGAATGAGGGTAAATATGGTGGATGTATTTTGAATCCATATATGAAAGTAGAAGAATGAAATCTGTTAAAATTGTCTTAAGAAAGGGGATGGGGGAAGAGGGAAAACAATAGAGGGGGTAAATCTAACTAAGATATATTGTAATCACATATATAAATATTATGATGTACCCCTCTGCATTATTATGTGCTACTAAAGTAATTTAAAAATAATAATATTAAAATCATTACCCAATTGCCAGGCAATTGATGGGGTAGTAGTCAATACCTCATTAAATGGAATCTTTATAACAACCTTGCCAAGGAAAGCTCTATTCCCACATTTACAGTAAACAAACCAAGGGTTGCATAGGTTAAGCAATTTGCAAAAGGTTCCTCACTGAGTAATTTGCAGATCTGAAATACAAACCTAGTTATATATTATGTCAGGTTTTTGTTATTGCTTTATTCATCTATAACTACACTAATTAAAATACAACCTACTTAAAGATATTTAAATATCATAAATAATGTAATGATAAAAAAACACTAACAGATTTTTCTCTTTTCTTAAAATGACATTTTTCCTCTCTCTCTCTCTCCTTTCGGCAAAAGGAAAAAGCAACATTAGCTTACTTTTTTCTGCTTCACTAATTGCTGTGGGGTTTTACCTGAAGAGATCAGTAAGTCATCCAGGCAGACACCATTGATCCAACTATAGTGCCATTGTGCTCTGTCCACATGCGTGATGTTGGAGGGAAGGCTTGTTCATGGGAATCACAAAGCCATCATCCATCTGACACCCTGGGTTTCGGTGGGCTCTCACCTGCAGGACTTCCCACAAATGTCTTCCTTGGCCTGTTATTACTTTTAATTGCTCACAGGATGTTTCTTACTAAGAAAGTTCTTGCCAACCTAGATCATCAACACTACCTCAAAGGAGTCTCAGAAAATCAATCAGCAAGTTCAGCTCAGCTCTTCTGATGAAAAGTAGGATATGGGGTATCTGAACTTCATCCAAGCTCATAGAACCCATTGGCCCTTTCAAAGACAGTGTAATCACATTCAAAGAATCTATGCAAGCCCAGAGCACAAAAGGTAAGGGAAAGTTTCTGTGTAGGAGAAAAAAAAATGGACTTTGACTCAGAAAGTCCTGAACTCAACAGCCAGGTGTCATGGCACACACCTATACTCTCAGCTACGCAGGAGATGGCAGTAGGAGGATAGAGGTATCCGGCCAGCCTTGGCACAGTTAGCATGAGACCATATCTAAAAAATAAAACTAAAAGTAAAAGAGCTGATGGTGTGGCTCAAGGGGTAAGAGTGCTTACCTAGCAAGCGTGAAAAGTCCTCAACAAACTTATCATCTCTAATACCAAAATAACCAATAGCAATATTGATAATGTACACATTCTGTCTTGGTCCAGAGAATATCACATAATAGTTTTGTGATCTGAGTAAATGTCAGCCTTTTTGAAAGTAAGTTTCCTCTTCTATAAACCAGGGAGTAATGAAGTCATACCACTGTTTTGAGAAGGGAATAAGATGGCATCAGTAAAACTCATTGTTCCAAGTGATAGAAGCCCAATGATATTAACATTAAGAAGAAAGAGCTTTTGTTATAAGTAAAAATAATGTCTCTGAAGAATATGCATGCAGCTGGATTTCAGGAAATTCTGGAAGCAGAGGCTCAAGCACCACCTTCTCTCCATTTCCCTTTAGATATGGGTCTCCCCATTTCTCACTAGTCCTAAACTTATACGGCAGTAAGAGCTACCAGTGACTCACAGTTACACCCCCACCCATGCTCCAGTTTAAGAAACAAACTGATTAGTCCAAGTTCTAAATTCCAGAAAAGAGTCAGGATTGGCTCACCTCATGACATGTGTCTACATCTGGACCAATCAATTATCTGTTGGCAGGTGCTATACTTTATCCTGCTTGCTAGGCTGTTCCCATAATAGATAGTTCATAGAAGGGGATTTGTTACTAGAAAAGTTTTACCACAGGAGAAATCACAAGTATCCATTACAAGAATATATGAAATGCTAAGGGGAGGTACACATGAGAGACTGAGGGTAAAACAAAGAAGTTAAGAAGGTGAATGTGGTTGATGTACTCTCTATACAAAAATGAATGTAGAATGTTTAAGCCTGTTGAAATCAGTAGAAGAAGGGGGACTAAGGTAAAATGAAGAAAAATAGAGATGAATCAATTCAGGTTTTAATACATATATACATGGAAATATCACAAGGAAACTCTCTGTGTAACTATTTTAAACAAACAGAAATGTCTTTATTTTTACCTTTTTTTTTTTTTACAAAATCATACAACAGGAGAGTAGAACAGGTCCTGCAGGGACTTTGGTATCAGTGGTGGGAAAGGGTGTGGGAGGGTGAATATAGTGCAAATACTGTGTATACATGTATATAAATGGAAAAATGAGACCACTGAAACTATCCCAGGAATGGGGGAAATGGAGATAAAGGAGAATGATGGAGAGGGTGAATTCAAGAATGATATATTTTTTATATTTTAAGAACCTTTGTGGATTCCACAATGTACCCCACTCAGCACAACAATAAAAAAAGAAATTTTACAAAAAAGAACACATGAAAAATATTGGACACTATACTTAGTCAAGAATAAATACCCCAGGTTTCTGCACATCTTAAAATGTCATATATACTTTTCAAAAACAAAACAAAATAGTATTCATTATAATGAATATATATAGTATATTGTAAGATTCAGAAGAGAACATAGATCCCAAGAAGAATTAATCTTTAATGGCATAATATAGTTATCCCTCGACTTGTGATGGGGTTATATCTGAAAAAACCATCAGTAAGTCAAATACAGCTGAGAAACACAATATCCCATGGTCTTGGCTGTTCACCCTCATGATCACATAGCTGACTGGGAACTGTAGCTCTCTGTTGCTGCCCACACGGTGAGAAAATACTGCACTAGCCCAAGAAAAGATAAAACTTTAAACTTCAAGGTTCTATCTCTATTGAGCACACATCATTTTGTATCCTCATAAAGTCAAAAATTGTAAGTAAACTATTATAATTTGGGGACACTCTATGCTTTTCCAACAAATTATTTACAAAATAGGAATTTTGTCTTTTAAATAAAACAGGGTTTTATTTTGTTTGTTTGTTAATTTTATTCTTTCTCCTGTCTCCTAGAAACCCAAATCTTCTCACATTTTCCTCTCTCACCTTCTGTTTTTTTCTATGGTTAAATCCATCTTAGTTTGTGGCTCTGCCACTCAGTTTTTAGCATTAAAAATCTGAGACTGTATAAAATACTCAAAGCTATTTCACAAAGCAATGAAATGCCCTTGCATGATTAGCACTAAACAGAGTACCAGGCCAGAAATAAAAAAGGCCAATTTCTATTTTCCTCTCTTTTGCCAAATATACTCAGACCAATTTTAAGGAAGTCATTCATGTGCCCCTATAAATCTGTGTGATAGCCTATCTGTCCTTAGGATGAAACCTGGAAAGATTGAGGTGCTAACTCTGAACAGGACCCATTTCAGGAAGAAGTAGAGAGAAATTCAGAACTAGAGACTGCATCTCTCTTATGAGATGGTGAATTTACACTCAAAGAAAAATCTGTCTTGTGTGTTATGTAAGAGTTCTTTGTTTGGGTCAAATTATAGTCAATAAGCTCCAGATCTACTCAATAGATTTTAGGTTTTACAAAAAAAAAACAATTTGCATGGCTTTCTAGAATTACCTCTGGCTCTCTCTAGAATAATACTGACTCATTTTGGAAAAAAATATCTCCTGAACCTCTTAACTAGAATGATAAGAGATAAGTATAGCTCTTATAAGAAAAAATAAAAAACAATAAAGGTCTCGCTCTTGCTTTGGATCTTGCTGCTATTATTGTAGGGAAAAGGAACGAAACTTAGGAAGCACAATATTCCAATATTCCAAACAATAACATTCCAAGAAAAGTAATGGAGTGAGGTGAGGAGGCTGACTAGTCTAATTCTAATTGATTGTGTTATCAATTAGGTTTGTTTATTGTTTACTTGTTTTCAAATTGAAAAGAATTTCATAGAAGGAAAAGAGTTACCAGAATAATAATATTGTCTTGAAACACAATTCGTATATTCTTTATAACAAAACAAGTTTCTACCTTGGGCATGGGGGTGCATGCCTGTAAGCCCAGCACTCAGGGGGGTGAGGAAGGAGAATCATAAGCCTGGGCTGCACAGTGAGTTCCCAGGTCAGCTTGAACTACATTGCAAGACCCTGTCTCAAAAACAAACAAACACCAAAAATATCCTGTTTCTAACTGAGCTGTTTGGTCACAGTTTAAATGGAACATCCACTGATGGAAGGTTCATGCCATTTAAAGTGTACTACACAAATGCTGAACTGGAGTCCTTTAAAAATCCTGCTAATTCATTTCTTGGCAGTCATAATATTAAAATATGCAAATAAGCATGCCATCGTTGCTCAGTGCTAATCTTTTTGTAATAACTAATGCTTTTCCCACCAGCCACCAGCCTTCTATTCTTGTCACCTTCACCCAGGAGTCACAAAATGCTGAAGACAGTCACTTTTTACTTGATTCAATTTCAAGAGATAGAAGTTAGGCCAACATTCTCACCTTCTTCCTTCCTAAATACTTTTCTCCCCTCTCCTAATTACAAGGCTTTGCACTAATTTACATGAATTTCAGCTTTCAAAACCGTTAGTCTTTGCTGAATGCAAATAAGCACATAGGAAAGTTATATTAAGTTTGCACAAGTGATCTTCCATCATTTCAAATGGTACCTTTGAACAGTTCCTGAAATGTCTGTCTGAAATACTCCCAGCGCTGAGTATCATCAAGAGATGGGGGATCACACTGGGGAAACCCATTCTCGGTGATGTAAATTACAGGACTATTATACATATCCTAAACAAGAGAACAGAAGTTTTATTCCAAACAGATGTTTAAAAAAAAAAAAGCTCATAAAATCAGGTGCATTACCCTCTGTCTTCTTGAAGCTACAACCCCAAAACTAGTTTTCATCAAATTGCACTGACCCTATTAACTTAATTTTCCACACACTGACCTTTTATGACTAACAATGGAAAAGCAAAACTGTGCAAATGTCCATGAAGACAGTCAAATGACTCTTATTATAATGAGAAGACAGAAATATCTTTCTTCCCATCAGCATCTGCTGATTGTCGCTGCTCCTTAACCCCTTGGTCCCACTGGCAGCTACATTCTCTGTCCCTCACAGGAGGAGTCTTGAAAAGTGGTAACTTGAAATTTTAATTTCAGCTACCTGGATGCCATCCAGCATAGTGGAGACCCAAAAGGGGTCCAGATAACTCCTCCCTTAAAGTAACTTTAAAAATCACAGTCATGACACCAGTGTGAAAAATACAGCCAGTAGATTCCTATAGCAACACAAACTTTAACAACAAATTGTGAATTTGACTGCTGGTTTTTGAAGCCCACTAGTTAACCCTCACCCACTTAAATCTTAATCTGCAACTTCCAGGCAAAGAAATGGACTTACTATTACCTAAAATCATCCACTTTCAGACATATGTACACATACATGTGCCTGCCATGCCACCTTCACATATTTGGGTGTACAAGAGCACAAATAAATATTCCATTTACCTTAATATATTTCAGTAGTTTACGTATTCCCCATGGTACCACATAGATCCAACCAACACCTTTCCAAGATGGATCTGGAAAATACTCAATCCCAACATCCTGAAGGAAGCCTAGCTCTCCTTTATTACTCTCCTGGTGCTTGACTAAGCGAGATGTATAATATTGCACAGCAAAGAAATCAGCAGTGCCTTTGATCATTTTCTTCTCTTCTTCTGTGAATTCTGGAAGCCGTGATGATGGATAGCCTTGCTTCTTACTCATGTAGGCAATCTGGGACTTGACAAGTTCGGGATAATCTCCATCAATGAATATGGGTTTTGCAAAGAAATCCAACTGGAAATTGATGGCTCTTTTTGCAGCTTCCTGATCAGGCTTTGAGTTGGGATCTGCTGGTTCCAACCAACAAACAAACAATGATAAGGATACCATACCTTTCTGTTCCTTTCGGAATAAGGAATCATAACTGTGCCAGGACTTGGCATGAGCCTTAATCATATTATGAGCTGCCTGATAACCTCCAGTCCCAATGTGGGGTACACCAGGAGCAAAGATACCAAAGTCATATGCCATCGTAGCAAGAGTATTAGGCTCATTTATGGTGATCCACTGCTTGACTCGATCCCCAAAGGTACTGAAGCAAAACTGAGAATATTTGTCAAAGACTTCAATGATTGCTTCTGACAACCAACCTCCTTGGTCTTCTAAAGCTTGAGGCAAATCAAAATGATAGATGGCCACTATGGGTTTGACTCCATTTGCTAACAAGTCATCAATGATCTTGTTGTAATAGTCAATTCCTAAGGAAGAAAATATGAAACAAAAAGTTATTTCTAGTGTATTGGTAGCAAATTTAAAAGAGAAAGGATCAGGATGTCTCACATTCAAAATAAGGTTTACTACTTCCTCAGTATAATCAATGGGAGACTGGGAGGGAGCAGGAAGAATTGCCCAGAAAACTGGCTAATCAGGGAGGCAAGTGTCACAGGGTGACATTAGGGGAAGAAACTTGTTCTGAAACAGATACATTTGGGAAAGTCACTGTCACTTCTCATGTTCGTATTTTCGTACTTATTGAAATTATTTTTATTTAATTGTCTAGATACAAATGTTGTGCATTAACTTCACTAGAATACAAGCCCCATGAGAGCATGGGTCTTGACTCTCTAGTTCACCTCTGGATGCCCAAATCCTAGAACAGTACCAGAAATACAATATTAAAGATTTGTTGAATGGATTAATGAATCTCAGTAGTATTGAATGTAAATGAAGAAATTGAGCTGATGACTGCATTGAAGTTTTTCCAGATGTATTAGTCTCACATCTGTCCCAGAATGGGGGTTCCAAGCACAAATAGCTAGAGGCTTGGGGCTTTATGAGTACTTGGTTGGGGGTTTGCTTAAATTTTGACAGAAAACACAGGAATACACAGCACCACCACCACCCCTTTGACTTTCAGCTAGTCCTTCCAAGACTAGAAAATACTTTTAGGATGGCTGTAGAGTTCACAAGAATGTTAAGCTGAAGATGTTTTGCTCAGAATCCAAGGTCAAGAAATAGTCCGTCCAGCCTTATGATGACTCTTACCTTAGAAGAGACTCCAGAGAGGCTGATATTAGAACTGTACCTGGCTTTATGTTTAAAAGTGTGGAAGGAACCAAAGCTTAGAAGAGAGAAGTTGTTTTTTAAGAGGTTGGTTTCTGGAGAGAGATTATAAAAATCATATGTAGAATTGTTTTGCATTGAAAGTTTAACTTTTTTTTTAGCTTAGGAAAAATAGTAATTGAGAATTTTGCATTGATTCATGCACTCATTCATTTTTCCATTGCTTAAATACACATTGGTAGAGAAACTATTATATGCTGGACATACAAATTTAGCAAGGTAAACACTACCTTTTTCCTTATTAGGAAGAACTATGATAAATTAATAAACAAGTACAACATAGTACTATTAATAAAGATAAAGTACAGAGTCCTATTTTAAAATGTTATAGAATACACTCACTCTAAACTCAGGGCATTTGAAAACATATTCTGAAAGCATTGTACCCTCATGGTTTCAAGATTGAACTATGATGCCAGCCAAGCGACCTAAATTCTATTCCCACTCTATTGATTGCTAGTTTGGTGATCTTGGGCAAGTTACTGAATCTCTCCAAGTTATCTTTCCATCTAAAATGTGAGTGATAATAGAAATCTACTTCAATGGATTGTTGTAAGAATTTAATGAGTTAATACATTGAACCTGCTTAGCGCTGTTCTTAGCATATAGTAAGGACTCAATACAGGTTAGTTATCATTCTAGTAATGATTATCATCATTATTTTATTAGTGACATCTAAGCTCCTACTTGGAGGATAAATTGCACACATGAGGCAAAAAGGAAAAAAGTAATCTAGGAAAATAAAAATGGAAACAAATATGCAAAAGACTCAAGGAGATTAGCAATAAAGACCACTCGATAGAAGTGTGGTCTCTTCTGTGGTTAATTTGGGGAGTATATCTGACTCTCTCCAGTTGGTCCTGAGTTAGAAGCAGAACTACAGCAGGGGAACAAAAAACTAGAGAAGCTGAAGTCCTTGACCAAGTCCTGACTATTCTGGGTTGATTGCTGCAGAAGCTCTGGTTTGGTTGCCTGGGCTTCTCATGTGACTCAGAATTTGTTTTCATATAATGTCTGGCCATTATTTATACATTCATTCATTCTCTTAGAAGAGCTCCTCCGGGAACTGAAAGTTCAATATAAGAAGAGTGTATAGTTCATCAGAAGATGAGTAAGAATGGAGAGGGGTAAGCATGGTAAGCAGAAGCCAAATTATGCACAATCATGTGCTGTTGGTTTGTCTATTTTTAACAACATCTCATTTATTTTGCAAACTGGAACACAGTGTGAATCATGCATAACAACTCCATGCTTGGAAGACACATTTATATGCTGTTTCTTACTTGGTAGGTAAAATAACTACATTTCACAAAGACGTCTATGCCCTAATCTACGGAATGAGTGAATATGTTTATTTATGTGACAAAGAAAAAAAAAGATACTGTGAAGATGCAATTAAGGTAAGAATCTCAAGATGAGAAAATTTCCCTAGGTTGTTCAGATGGACCCAATATGGCCACATGAGTCCTTAAAAGTAGAACAGTATGACAGAAAAGAGGGTCAAAAAGATGCAACAAGTAGAAGTAGAGAAGATGGCAGCTTGAGGGACTCAACCTACCATTCCTAGCTTTGAAGATGAAGAAAGGTAAAAGCCATGGAATGTAGATGACCCTGAGAAGATGAAAATGATCCTCAGTTGACAGTGAACTGGATCCTGTCAACAACTTGAATGAATCAAAAAACCAGACACTCCCATTCAGAAAGAAGTGGAGCCCTGCAGGCACCTTGTTTTCAGCCTTGGGAAGACCCATGTCAGACTTCTGTCCCACAGAACTCAAGGCTAACACAATTGTGTTGTTTTAAAGCAGCTAAGTTGTGATAATTTTTTGCAGTAGCAATGAAGAACTAGTATACTTTCCAAATTTTATAAAGCTTTGATTTTCTCTCTCAATGAAAGAGCATTCCACTAAGCCATCTCTGGAGCTCTGTATGCCCATATGTCCCCTGTAAATGGGATAGTAAAAATTATTTGATGGAATAACCTTGCTAGTAGTATGTGTGAAGTTTTTCCTAGCCAATTCATTTATTGACGTTGAACACAAAAATAATAATAGTTTCCTTTATTGAATTCATACTATGTATACTAGATATTATGCATTTTGCTTAATGCTATCACTAAGCCCAAGAGGTGAACATTTTTATTCTTATTAAGCATATTCAGAGTCTCTGTGTTATCAAATGACACAGCTAACATTGAATCCCAATCTGTTTCACTGTAAGGGCTGAGCTGTTCCCACTGCAACATACCACTGCCCATGTTTACTACTGTTCCTGAACTAGAAAAATGTGACCATTTCACTAACCTTAACATTGGCCTAGGCAGACCTGCTCACAATCTCAGTTCCTTTTTGTTTTCCTTTTTGGAGGAATCATTAATGATAGTCAACAATATAATTCAAACAACATGATAATCGTGAGTTGAATTGAAGATAAATAAATTTTAAATAAGAGAGTATTGCATAATTAATATTTAATATCCCAGAACTGAGCACTTTGCTTCTAGTTTGTATAGTTTATTTGATACTATAATGAAGCTTTTCCATCAGGTGGTGAGGCAGAATTTTTAAGAGCAGAGAACCACACTCAGGTAACTCGGTCAAAGGATCATGAACAAATCACTTGGCCTAAGTTTCCTCATCTGTGAAAGGGAAATGTTAACAGTGCAGCCTCTTAACTGTTGTTACTATTGAAGCAGAACAAATTGTCAAAGGGCATTTAGCTTTATATATCAAACTGGTACAATTTAGTTATAACTAATTCTCTGAACAACTGTGTATTTTTAAATTACTGTTACCAGGCTTGGGATCTTGAAACTTTGAGAGCTCATTTAGACCCTGTTCTGCTTCTGGATATTTAGGAAAGGATTGATTACATTAAGAATTAAAGCTTCTATAAACTACTTTCATAGTCAATACTATATTCTCAGTCTTAATTAAGCCCTTTTCTTCTTATTTGGTCTTTGAAAATGTGAAGTACATTTGAATTAAAAGTCTTTAAATATAGAAAAAATCAGTCAGACTAATTCAAATACCAGAGTGATATTAGGGGCAGTTGGGCAGAAAGTGTGGGGTACAGTGGGTATTATTTGAAGTGACATGGAGATATCATACACCCAATGACAAAAAATAACTACAGCTGGAATTCAAGCGAATTGAATTGGAGAGCTGAGAAGAATTTTGTCTCAATGGGAAAATGGTCTCTCCCATCCCTGCTCCTTTCAATACACCTACTTCATTCCCCTCCTTCTTTCAGAACCAGTTTTCTTTATTTTTCAATTTGCCATAGCCTCAAAATGGCCATTACATCTGCCAAAGCTATTTCAGAGCCCTCATGCCATTCACCAATTTAGCTTCTCAATGTCTTAATCCCAAACATCCATGAAAAGCTAAACTACTGGACAAGTTCACTTTTTTTTCAGTGAGGTCACACAAGCTATAATAGCAGGGGATATAGTCTTTCCTTTGTCCTGTCACCTGTGTCTGGGAGTGTAGCAAGATTATATAGACCTAAGAAACGTGTGAGCTGGGTAGCTTGAGTAATAGAGTGTTTGCGTTGCAAGCATGAGACCCTGGGTTCAATTCACAGTACTGAAGAAATAAAAGAAAGGAGGGAAGGAAGGAAGGAAGGAAGGGAGGGAGGTAGGGAGGGAGGGAGGAAGGTAAGAAGGAAGGAAGGAAGGTAGGAAAAAAGAAGAGAAGGAGGGAGGGAGAGAGGAAGGGAGGGAAGGAAAGAAGGGAGGGAAGAAGGAAGGAAGGAAGGAAAGGAGGCAGGGAGGGAGCGAGGAAGGAAGGGAGAAGAAAGAAAATTCCCTTAAAAGAAGAGTTGGCTGGAACTTCCAAAGATGATGCTTCCATTTCAATTACAACACAAAACCAACAAAAACACCTACCTCAAGCAAACTGTGAAGACCTGAAATATGGAATTCATTTTGATCATGTGCCTAACCTGTGTCAAAGATGTGATGTCACTTTGGTTCATGCATCTCTAAACTCATACCACCAAGCTCTGTAATTGTCCACACTGCCTGTATTAGTTATCTATTGCTGCTATAACAAATTACCACAAACTTAGACCAGAAGCCAACACAAACTGCATTATAATATAGCTCTGGAAGTCAAAAGTCCAGATAATTCTC